ATCCTCCTTCAGAATTGTCCTGAATCTAGCCCCTCCACTCTGACTCTGTCATTCTCACCTGTTCTAGAAGCTCCTCATATCTTGTCTGTATTTTTCACAACAGCCTGATTAATCTCACTTACTCCTTAATGCCATCTCATCTGCTTTGCCATGGCCAGTATCACCCTTTTAAAACAAAAAACTGACCATGTCACTCTCCTGCTTCGTGCCTTCCACTAGCTCTTAATCGCCTGCAAGGTAAAATCCAAACTCCATGGCCATGCTTATGCAGCTGTTCCATCTCCAGTCACAGTGTCTATCCCTAGTCTCTTTGTCCCCATCTGTTCAATGCATTCTGTATTGCAAACACTACAGACTTTTTGCTGGGAAAGACAGAGCTGATTTCAACGCCATTTGTTAGCTCTGTAAAAATGGGTCTAAAGTCACTCACTCTTTCTGAACCTCACTTTTTTCCTCAAAGGGAAATTGTTTGTAAAAGGTAAGGATTGTAAAGATGTACAGTTTAATGTCAGCAGTTATCTAGCTCAGAGCTAGTTTTCTCTCTGTGCCTTTCCATCATCCCCTCTACCTGATGTCCATCTTTCTCTTCATGTGACAAATTCCTGCTCAGACCCAGGTCAACAGGTATCTTCTCTGTGGATAGTTTTCTGCCTCCCTCTGACTGAGTTAGTTACTTTCTTCTTTGGGCTTCCACAATAACTCAGGGCATTTGTTACGTCATGATATGACATGATATTATTATAAGATCCTGTTAAAAAAAGAAAATGTCCTTTTTTAAACTCTGTACCTTAACTTGGTATATAATAGCTTCTCAAAAAGTATTTGTGAACATGTGAATGAATATATGAAGGCACTGTGCTGGGTTCTGCAGTCCATCTCTTGAAGAACTCACAATCTTGAAGGGTATAGAAACATCCATTCAAATAAGCACAGTGGGAGTCTGACTGGAATAAAGGTTCAGCTGGGGGGTGGAATTAAAGTGTAATGGCAGCTGGCCCTTCTACGTGGGACACTGGGAAGCAGGGAAACCTCGAGGAATGGCCATCTGAGCTGAGTCCTAAAGCATCCATGTGGATTTAACTTTCAATTTTGCTTAATCTGCCCACATGTTTATTATGCCCACTCCTCATACCCCAAAGAACCCTAAACTTTGGTGGCAGAAGGCCAGGGAATTCTTAAACCTTGGCCAGCAATTCTCAGGAGATATTGTAAAGGAACAGGTAAAAAGTTTTTCATAGTGCAATTTTGAGTGCAATTGTAATTTTGTTTATAAACCCTGAAGCCTGTAAATTACTGACAAATCGGTATATCTTTGAAAATGAAAACAGACTACACCAAGAAGATAAAGGTTTGAAAACTATAGAGCCATAAAAATCTTATGTTTTCATTATATACCTACTGAGGAATAGATATGTTCTTTTAAGAGTCTAAGTAATTAGACTGCCCAAATGAAATTGAAAAATGATGAACCATGACATACCAATCTATTTTAATATGATGTATAGAATATTTCCTGCCCTTTTTTACAACATAGGAGGACGTTCAATAAATTTTTGAATATAGGATTTTTTAAAGAAAGGATTTTTATAGCATGATAAGCAATGAAAGTCTAGAAATGCTCAATGCTGAATCCAATAGAGCATAGCCATAATCGTAAGTTAGCATTTTGTAGCATCTTCTACATCCATCAGTTTATAGTTCTGATTGAACAACTTTAATAAATATCGAAATATCTTCCTTCAGTAGCACTGATTCCAAAATTAAATAGCTCCGTTTCATCTCCACTGGGTGGTCAGATTCCTTCCCTGATGAAAAACTATGTAGAATGTCCTAATGATGACAATCGTGGCTACCATTTATTCAGTGTTTATAATGTGCCAGGCAATGGATATACGAGATTTTTTTATTTCGAAGGTGCTTTAGAAGCTTAAGCTTACATTTTTTATTCTCTACGTTACTAAAACTCAATTTATTTCACTCCATATATACCAGAAGCTTAGCAAGGTAAAAAAAGAAAACGGGACCTGAGTACTGCTTTGAGAATTACCCTGGAGAAATGAAATATTGCTATTTAGAAAGAACAGAAATTGCATTTAAACTGGCACCACCTGAAACACAAGAAAAACTCCATTTCTATATGAGCCAAGAACAGTTACCAGGCAGAAAATTTGGTCATCTTCATTCTACTCATATCCCACTTACAGAATTCCTAAGTACAGAATTCCAAGATGTCACCTTCACATGTTCAAATAGCAGAGGGGGGATTATGAGGGGACCTTCTGCCAGCTCTATCCCACTTCGGGGCACTCCCTGCAGGTTGTTAAGGAGAGCTCTTATGTCTGGTTCTATTACTCAACTTCCATACCTCGAAACCCAAAATAATCGATATTTAAGATACAATACTAAATACAACGCATTTGGAATAAATGGCCCCCCAAAATTGATTGTGTTTATTTCTACTTTTTTAATGAGTAAAACCATTTCCTCTTTTTTAACTTTTTCAGGGAAAAATTTGAAAGAAGAATATAAGGGCCCTCATGACCCAGCTTCAAAATTATCACCTCATGAGTCCGTATCATTTCATCTCCCTCTCACATTATTTATGGAAGATATCTACGTGGTTCTAAAGTCACATCTACAAAAATAATACCATCAGAGAAGTCTGGCTTCTATCCCTGTGCCCCCATTCTCTTCTCTTTCCTCTATAGAAAACTATTTTTTTAGATTATTGTTTAATCCTCCCTTTTTAAAATATAAGCAAAACATTTATACTTCAATTCCTCCTTTCTGAGATAAACACTGGGGATCTAGTGATTTTCCAAATATTTTAAAGTTTTTGGAGTTTACACTGACTGTTACAGTGTGACAAGTGTTACAAGACTGTGAGTGGACTTTCAGGCCAAAAATCAAGAAACATGGTACATGGTAATTTATATTTATTTTTAAAATAAATATCTATTTGAACACTTTAAAACTTTAAGACCCCAGTTTTGTGACCAAAAAGAGGAGGAAAAGGCAGTTAATTCTGATAAAAAGACTGAAAATTGAAAAAAAGCAGTAACGAGTTTGTCTGGAGATTTTTAAATAGATAGTAATGTTAAAGACATGCTCATACAATTGGAGTATCTCCAAAAGGCATTCCTACAGGAAACACATTAACAGCAGGTTTCTTTCCGCAGAGTGGGATTTTATTCACAAACCCTCAAACTGATATTCTTTCTCATAGATCGAATTGCGCAGAACATCATTAAGTCCCATCTGGAGACATGTCAATACACCATGGAAGAGCTACACCAGCTGGCATGGCAGATCCACACATATGAAGAAATTAAAGCGTATCAAAGCAAGGTACTCTGGGAAACTACAGGAAAGTTTTTCTGTGATTTCTCTGTTTCTGGCTTTTTCAACCTCTGCACTGTTGACATTTCAGACTGGACAATTCTTTGCTGTAAGGATTGTCCTGCACATTGTAGGATGTTTAGCCATCATCCTTGGTCTCTACCCACTAGGTGCCAGTAGCATCCCCTCACCCATAGTTGTGACAACCCAAATGTCTCCAGATGTTGCCAAATGTTCCCTGGGGGGCAAAACGACCCCGATTGAAAACCACTGCCCTATTTGAGTGACTGGGGAGACTGTGCCCACAGCAGGTGATTTTAGGACATCTCATAGTGGTTTCTTGCAGCCAGGCAAGGAATAGGAGCAATTGAAAAAGTCATAGCAGGAATAATAGCTGCAAACTTACACTACAAAGATATGCAACAAAGCATTCTGAATGTTTTTTCTTACCCTACATGTTTAAAAAGGACCAAAGGAAAAAGGGACAACTCACCCTACATTTTTACTGTTATTATTATTATTTTGATTATTTTTGTGTCCATTAGAGAAGGTTTTAAGAGAAGAAATTTGTTGCTGTTTTTGTTGTTGTCTTGACTCACATTAATTTTCTACAGGATTGAGATCCATAATCACAAAACCTACTGGTAAATGAAATTTTAATAAAATATATAAATGTGTCTATATATAAATATATGACTACAACATACTGATTTTTCTCCAGTGGAATAATTAAATCTTACCACTTTTACATAAATAAGGAGACAAAAGCATAGGTATTGTTATGGTCAATAAAAAACAGAATTAACACATAACTTGGATTTATGTTTCCCATTCCAAAGAAAATAACCCAAGGATCAAAATACATTTCCGGAGTTCTATATTACTTAAGAGAGTGATTTGATTTGATGTCTTTTCCCTTGAATTTTTTTTTTTGCGGTACAGAGGCCTCTCACTGCTGTGGCCTCTCCCGTTGCGGAGCACAGGCTCCGGAAGCGCAGGCTCTGGATGCGCAGGCTCGGCGGCCATGGCTCACGGGCCCAGCCGCTCCGCGGCATGTCGGATCTTCCTGGACCGGGGCACGAACCTGCGCCCCCTGCATCGGCAGGCGGACTCTCAACCACTGCGCCACCAGGGAAGCCCCCTTGAATTTTTTTTGGTACCAAAAAGCAGTCTCCATAAGTTCTGGGAAAAGAACACAACATAAAAATATTACAGACTTAGTGTCTGTCAGGTACACGTGGAAATAATTTTTTGGAAGCCTGTGAATGAAATTGCTATTCCTCAGTGTAAGAGTTTGACTTTACAAAATAGACTAAGAGCTTGAGTTTGTTTAGGTGAGGAGGAGGCAAAATAATAAAGAAACTATAAATGCCTATCTTTTTGTACTATTGCAATATTTCCATTATTTTAGCCTCATTACTTTGATAATTGTGGTGTATCAAGGTTCAAAGAGGTCAAAGCAATATCTTAGAAAATATTGCCTCTCTTCTAAAGGTGGGTAAATTCCTACCATGGACCCCAAGTGACAGGTAAGCGCCAGTTAGGGCAACCTTGAGTATTTCACTGAGTCTCCAAGTTGTTCTTTGCTCCATGTACATTCTGTGTTTTCTCTCTTGAAGTCCAGGGAAGCACTGTGGCAGCAATGTGCCATCCAGATCACTCACGCCATCCAATATGTGGTAGAGTTTGCAAAGCGAATAACAGGCTTCATGGAACTCTGTCAAAATGATCAAATCCTACTTCTGAAGTCAGGTAAGCAAGAAAATTCATGGGGGGCCTATTTTAGACCCGGATGTGGTTGACCCTTAGCTTGCTGTTAGTTCTAGAAAAGCCTCCATCCAATATGTAGCTCATTTTTACCACCCACGCTGTCAGCCAACTCCCAAAGGAAACTCTCAATAATAAAAATGCCCTGATAGTCATTCAGTTCCCCTTTGAAGTCAAATACAATTTTGCTTATTGAAAGTGGAGCTATTAATTGCGGAGGTTGAGATACCCAGGTTGACAGGCAGTGCTAGTAATTAGCGTGTCAAGGTGGCTGAATTGCTGAGCTGGCTCTAAAATGTACTACTTGCCTTCTGTTGGGAAAAAATCCAGGCTAGCTGAGCTCTGCCTCTGTGGTCATTTCCAGTCATTTTAATGAGGATAGCCTGCAGCCAGAATACACCGGGAGAAACTCACTCTGCTCTAATCCTTCCTCCCACTTCTCCCTCACACTCTCTGACACACACACACTGTCACTTAGGAAGCAACTCAGGAAACTTTGCACATGATTGACTTTGCAGCTGCCATTATCCAAACAGGAAAAAAATGTATTTGTCTTTTTTGGCCCCCTTTGAAAATAGAAAATAAGAACCACTATGGTGTTCATGTGAACCTTCATGGTCCTGGGCTATAGCAAATAATAATAACATAATTTATATATATGCAATAACATATATATATATATGTTTATGTTTACCTGTGACATCTCTTAATCTCGTGTGCTCAGTAATTATTTCCATCGTATAGAAGAGGAAGCAAAGATTCAGGGACGTGAAGGGCTGTGTTCAATACCACATAGCCAGTATCTGGCAAAGCTGGCTTATTTTTTTTTAATTAATTTTTATTGGAGTATAGTTGCTTTACAATGTTGTGTTAGTCTCTACTGTACAAAAAGAGGTGTGGAGAAAAGCTGCCTTTTGAAATTGAGCCAAATAAAAGAATTATTCTAAGTTGCTGCTGCTTCGGTACCAAATGATTAAGGTTGGTGCAAATCTTGACTCAAACATGAACTTGCTGTATTAGTTGCTGGATAAAAACAATCCCAAAACTTAGTTCACACAACGATAATCATTTATTTTGCTTCCAAAGCTACAGGTTGAGCGGGGCTTAGTGAGGGACGGCTTGTGGTGTTCACTGAGGCAGCCTGACTGCGGGCAGGAGGACCCACTTGCATACTGGCTCGTGTTCATGGCTCGCAGTTTGTGCTGGTTGACAGCCCGGAGTTCAGTCAGGGCTTGGGCTCAGGGGGGCCTCAGTTCCTACCCTGCACAGACTGCTTGGATGTTCTCACAGCATGGTGGCTAGGTTTCGAAAGTTAGCATTTCAAGAGAGCAAGGCAGAAGTGTGTAGCATTTTTCTGACTTAGCTTCAGAAGTCCCATAGGGTTACTTCCACTGCACCTGTTAGTCAAAGCAGTCATGTAGGCCCACCTGGGTTTAAGGGTAGGAGACATGGAATGTAGAAGAATGTAAGGGGTCAAGGGACGTGCCTTCCATATTGTAGATAGTGAATAAATGGTACCTATTATTGTTTTTCTCAGAAAAGCATTATTGCAATTAATATTTGCAGATTCCTTCTTATGCGTAAGCCCCTATGCTAAGGTGACATATGAGGGAAAGCAGATACATCAGCAGAACAAAGAAATAAAACACAGACATAAATGTACATGGTAGCAGTAAGAAAGGCACCAGGGGTACAGTTGGGTACAACATGGGTGTAGCCAAACCATCTATATGATGTTCTCATGCAAATTTCTGACTTCTGAGCCTGGGTGTCACCTTCCAACACACTGTGGGGCAAAAGCCCATTTCTCCAAAATGTGGAGAAACTTTGCAGTACTTGCTCAGGATGTCAGTAAATGTTCAGAGGGAAAAACAAAGGTAGTGAACTAATTCATTTAATAAATATTTATTAAGCACCTACTATGTGCCAGGTACTTTTCTAGGTGATGGAGATATAACAGTGAATACAATAACCACAACTGCCTATGGCTGCAGATGAAGGTCCTGGCACCATTGGGCTAACAGAGAACTCAGAAATGTTAGGTCCATCAGGGTTGAACAAACTCCTTCATGTTGGGACTTCAACAGCCTTTGACCTGTGAATGTTGCTTATAACTCCCTGGAGTGGATAATGTTCAGCCTTTTGCCAAAACTTATTTGACCAAGAAACCCTCATTTCAAAGATACCAGGACATAAATGGTACCCTCAAGAAACATCCTGAAGGTGTCCCTATTGAAGTCATCGTATGCAGAAATATACATGGAGTGTGTTAAAAACTGAAGCAGAGAACAGGTTTCCCCAACAGCAAAACTTCTACAAAAGTTAACAGACTGAACTTGCCTGCTGCAAATCTCCTTTCTGGGCCACTTATGATCACCGGTGAATTCAAGAGTTGAAACTAACTTCATTATCAGTCAAAAATAGGGGGGAAAATGTATGCTTCTGAAGAAAATGTTTTTGCCCTTCATTTTAGTCACCTTTAAAGTGTATTTCATCTTTAATTCCTCACATAGACTTCAAGAGAGCTTTATTTCTAACATAGTTCTTTTTTACTTGGCAAGGAATCTTGAGGTGTTTCTGAATGTGTGTGTCTATGTGTCTATGTGTGTGTTTTAAAGTTTTTTAAAGTCTCTTGACCTATATGCAGTAGTAACCTCTTTATATATATATATATATATACACATTTGAAATTTTTTTCTCATAGGTTGCTTGGAAGTGGTTTTAGTGAGAATGTGCCGTGCCTTCAACCCATTAAACAACACTGTTCTGTTTGAAGGAAAATATGGAGGAATGCAAATGTTCAAGGCCTTAGGTGAGTTCACCTTTGATGATGACACAATTTTATCAACTACCGTCAGTTTCTCCACTACAAGAAATGCCTTGATTCTCTAACATGACTTAGTATCTCATTATTCCATAAGGGTTGGACTAGGGGAGGCTCCAGTGTTTCATCTAACTCCTCTGATTTTACAGTTGTGCCTCCAAATGTAAAAGGAAGGAAAGAAACGTGGACCCTGTTGACACGAACATGCTTCATTCAGAAATCAACAAAAACTGATCGTAAAGAACTGGGATGCATTCTAGGCCTTCTTTGTAGGATCAGCTTTTCTTTTACCTTCCAGCTGACTGCTTCACACAGCATATTCTGTAGACCACTGGTGGTCCATGGGTGACCTCTTAAGTGTCTCATGCAAATTTATAATCATTAGTTAAGATGCTTAAAAGAGGAGCTCTTTCATTTGTTTCAAACCCAGGGTAGTGACTTTCTCCCTGTTAATTCATGAAGTTCTGGGAGCACAGATAGCATGGCTGCCAACCAACCCAAAATGATCCCCAGACCATTCTTGTGGGAGGGCAGGACAGAGCCAGTCTCTGCAAGTGTGTCATTCACATCCAGTCATCAGTGCACAGCATGGATAAGAACGTTAGCAAAGATGGGCTGGTGCCAGGAAAGGTTTTAACAATTGACAGTGCCATTTGTTCCATATCCTGCCCACGGACATCAAAGAAGGCCACTGCCCTTTCACCTTTTGTGCTGTCAGTTGATATGGTAGCCAATGGCAAACCCATCGGGGCCGGCAGTGTTTCCCTCCTGCAGCTGATATACATCCATGGCATCTCCAAGGCTAGATTTTCAAGAAAGGAGGGAAAACCTTGGCAAGCAACTTGGGTATATTTCCAGCTTCATAAAATAAACATTTACCAAGGATCCGTGTAGGGATGAAGCATTATTTTGCCAGAATTCACAGTGGCTAAGCAACTGACCTGCGAGTCATTCATTAGAAGGTAAACATAAACGAATGTTTGCTTCTCAATCGAATTTCCAGGAAATTACCAAATTGAAAGTCACTTCATCTCCATTCGCTTAGCTTGAGGCCCCTGGACATCCTACATTGCCAGTGACATCCTATAAGTGCCACTAAGACTGACAGCCCATGGCCCATTATACATGTTTTAGGTTTTCTATGAATGCTATGTCTGTGCTAAAGGATCCCCAAATCACTAATTTAAAATTTTTTAGTTGGAGCTAATTTCAACCTTACAAGATTAGATTGGGGTTATATATTCCCAGTTGGATATTACAATGGGTGCAAACCATTTCTATCTGCCCCTCATTGGTAATGTTGACTTTCTTTACCTGGTCAAGATGTTGCCCAATTTTCTCATTCTATAATTACCACTAAATCATTTGTTATGGTCAGGAACTTAGAAATATTTTTTCTGTGTGCCTAGTATGCAAATCCTTGAATAACTTCTTGATTATGGGACTTTTCTTACTATTGTCCCATTCTGTTCAAGTATTTTCATTTAATTTGCCTTCTTTTATAGGTTCTGATGACCTAGTGAATGAAGCATTTGACTTTGCAAAGAATTTGTGTTCCTTGCAGCTGACTGAAGAAGAGATTGCTTTGTTCTCATCTGCTGTTCTGATATCTCCAGGTAGGGAGGTCTGAGGTCCTTACCTTTTTTAAAAAAAAAAAAAACTGTTTTGCTATCTTTAACATGAATTGCATCTACCTAAGCCAAGGTGCTCTGAAGAAACTTTAAAAGAACTATATTTTCTTTAGCAAGTTGTGATATTTTTGGACAATTCAAAGAAAAGTAGCCTCAGGTTAATTTAAATATCAGTTTTGTCCCAAATGCAAGAGTAGGATGTGTGGTAAGGGTGACTCCAGATTCAGAAAAGCATGATCATTTCTTAACAGATAAATGAAGACAAATAGTGGCCTGAGTTATAACTAAGTTCTATTTTGATTTTAAGAATAAAGGACATAGACAAAAATGTCCAGTTAGGTGAGACTTAGTAGAAATATACCTGAATGAACAAGCCAGCACAGAGCCTAAAAAAAAGTAAAACATACATTTTCTCCTCTTTAAATATCTCTTTCGTCGGCTTTTCTATCCAAATTAATGTTGGCGTTCTCACTTCAGGCAAATGCCTCTTCTTTTTTTATGCAATATTAGAAGCTTTAAAAGGAGGTAAGGACAGCAGAGGAAAAAAATGGCTCTTACTAAAGACTGGTAAAGGAAGAATCTCCGATGTGGTGGTAGACATTCTAGGACAGGCTCTGTCACCAGGTATGTGTGTGACCTTAAACACTTGACCCCTCAGAGCCTCAGTTTCCTCACCTGTAAAGTAAGAGGGTTGAGCTTCATAATAATAAACACCTCGTCTAGCTCTGAAATGCAGTAAACAGCAAACAGTTTTCAAAGAAGGTATGGCATGACATTTATAGATCAAATAGCACTATAGCCATTAAAATTCTTTTTAAAAGTATATGCTGGCTTGAAAATGTATGGAATCCTAATAAATGCATGGCTCAGCCAGAATGAAAAGTCAGAGTTGCTCATTCAGTCATCTGTTCAGTTAGATTTGGGGTCAAGGAATAGCAGTTTTATTGACAGTTCTCTATGAAAAGAAAGACACATTCCTGGTCATTTTTATGGTCAAGAGACTCATTCCTTCTATAACCCGTTTATCTCTAGAGACTTGATCTTTCTTATACCTAACATATTTTTCAGTGAGGCTGGAAGAAATTAATCTTCCCTGTGATGGGCCCTGTTGACATGTCACCCTAGCTATGTCTACCCATAATACGGCCTTTACACTTTGTATCTGTTAGGCTTTATTTACTTATTTTATGAGGATTTTTATGAGGATAAATTTTATGAGGATTTTTAAAATCTGCTTCTGTTTTTTATTTAACTACTTTATCAAGAATGGAAATTAGTTATCAATTGGCATATCATTACTAACAGTTTCTTTTGTGGCTCTGTCTAAGATCAAGCTGTTCCTCCAGGCTTTTTCCTTTTTCTTTTCTTTTTTTTTTTTTAAACCCTAGAAAGTTTCCCAGACTTGGCAGCACAAAGCTAAATGGAAGAAGTGACAAGCAATATTTATTTCTGGTAGCAACCACTTGCCAAATAATTTTCCTCCTACCGTTTTCTCATTGCATTTGATTGCTCCCATTGATTATAGTTCAGGTGACGATTAGTTCTAAGCCTTTGAGTCCACGATGAGGGAGCTGGTTTCACTCCGGTTCCTGCTTAATTAAAGGAGGCATTACAAAAGTCACTGTCCTCGTAGGTATGCATGTGACAAGTCAGTAGATTCCCAGCAGCAAATATTTAAGACATGGCATATCAAATCTAAACAATCCATGAAGATAACTGCCCCAGTTGGAAGGCAAGCCTGCTGCTTATGAGTTAGAAATCAGCTGAACTATGAGCCTTTTTCTAGGAAGAAATGCTAAAGCCATCAAACTCCACGAAGTTTGGAAGCACGTTATTTAGCTTATTCTACCCAGCGGGGAATCTTCCAGCCCCAGTCACAGACCCACACTCAGAGGCTTCTGCAACTCCAAGATACCTTGTTTGCCACCCTGGCTTAGTGCCATATTCAAAAAGGGAGGAAAGACAGTATTCCAGCCTGTGTAGGCTCCATCGCAGGCCAGACCCCACCCTTCCGCCCAAGTTCTTGCCATAATAGTTACTGTCTATTCAGCTCCAGATAGTTTAGGGAAGGGAGAGGCAGGGGACCTTAATGTATTCTGATTGACAATTGTCACTGAAGGCTTTTGTGCTCACTTACGTAAGGGTTTGCTTAACTGTTGGCTAGACTTGTCCTGGCCCTGTCTAGGATTACAGAATCGAGTTTCTCACCTGACCTGAACTGTGTTCAGAAGGATCATGTCCAAGTTCTTTTCCATGAGTATTTGTTCAGAATTTGGAGACTCTAGGTGTCTCTTCACTGAAGTTTCAACCTTAGGCGTTGACACTGGGCTGAATTTTGTCACCATGGTATAAAGCGTCTAGGAAGAAAGGAAGGACGGAAGCAGGGAACAAAGAGAGGGAGGGAGGGAGGAAAGAAAAAAGAAAGGAGAGTGGGAAAGGCTAAAGGAAAGGAGGGATTATCCTATCTATTAAATTCAATATAGAAAAAGAGGACTCAGGATTAAATTTTTTAATTGATTCATGTTGATGCTATATAAATTATAACTTAGCTTATAAAAGGGAAGGGAGATTCTGAATTCCAAAAACACTCCTTTATGATAGGTTTTCTTCACTTCTATAATTCATTTCTTCACAAATCATTAACATAAACTTTGAAAGAAAATCTAAGCGTATGTCCAGAGAAAAAGAGATGTAAATTGTCACAGACAATAAGACACATGGAGTTTCTCTGAACCATTGTGTCTTTACCTCCACCCTGATTCTGTATGTCAATGTTACTGTCATCATAGAATTTCTTATAAAATATTTGTTTTAGAAAAATAATGACATGTCTTCAGAAGCAATTTGGAACTAATTTGGAATGGGTCTGGTACTCAGCACTTATATGTATGCAGGTGAAATACAACAAAGCTTACATTCTGTCCGCTCCTTACCCATTCTTTCCCTTTGTCAGACCGAGCCTGGCTGATAGAACCAAGGAAGGTCCAGAAGCTTCAGGAAAAAATTTATTTTGCACTTCAACATGTGATTCAGAAGAATCACCTGGATGATGAGACCTTGGCAAAGGTAGGTCCTCAGACCCAATGTCACTGAAAGAGCCCAGTGAGCTGAAGAGGGCTAGTCACATAAAGCAGGGGACATTTCTGGCCTAGTCACATAAAGCAGGGGACATTTCTGGCCTAGTCACATAAAGCAGGGGACATTTCTCAGCAGCAGCAATTTCTGAAGATTACCAAAGGTTGCATGAATTTTGAGGTGCACATTTTAAAAGGGAGACTGGGAAATTATAATAGATTGAAAGGACAATGACTTTCATAGGGAAGGACGATACTGATGGATCTGAACCACAGGTAGAGGAAGACAAATCAAAGGACAAATCAAAGACAAATCCTTTGTTTGGAAGAACAAAAGCCTGAAGCAAGGAAACAAGTCCTCAAAAATCATATATGAAGAAAGAGGAGACTTTGTGTCACTTGGGAGTCAGGTCCAGGCAAAAGAATGGGTAGATTTTTATTCAAAATGAGGAAGAACTATAAAGTGACGAGAATTGGGGAACAGAGGGTAGACCACTGTGTGAAGGAGTGAGGTCCCTGTCATTGGTCGTATTCTTATAGATACTGCCTGGTTTCCTTTCAGGTATGTTGTAAATGACAGTCCTACCCAGAATGAAAGATTAGACTGATGTCTTGTAAATTTCCCTTCAACTCTAATCTCTTCAACTCTACTCTAGGATTCTTTCAAAACGAAGTATCTCAGGGGCAAAAAGCATGTACCGTGCTATCCATTTCGTGATTCAACTTAATTAAAAATAGTGATCTTTAAGAAGAATACGGAGAAAAGTTGTTTACCAAAGTAAAATGATCATAAGAGGACAAAGGAATTTTCTAATGATATTCAGTGTTATTTTAGATTCCAAAGTATCTTAAATTTCTTAAGAATTGGAATTTTTTTTGAGGTTAAACAACTAGGAAATGGAGCCTATCCTTAGTTAAAGATGATAGGAATCCTACTCTTTATATTTTTATCATTAAAACCCTCCCACTCTGCTCTTGAAGTTCTTTATTTTAAAAAAGGGGGGAAGACTCTGTTAGAGATACTATCAGATTTTACTTTGCACATACAGAGTACTGCTATAAAAAACCTCCATGAGTTAAATATGCTGCTTCATTATGGTAACATTTTGTTAAAATTAACATATCACTAGGAAGAACATTTCTACACTGTAGGGTGATAGTTCTTTTTGGTGCAACTTTTCACTTACCATGTGGGCAAGGACAAATCTCCTGCTCTTCACACCTCAGTTTTCTCCCAGGTAAGAGCAAAACTTCTACATACATAAGCAAAACTTCAGATACACTGGGCAGAAAAGACAGTAATGTAGATATACGCATCTGTCTCTGTAATGGCTCCACAGCATATAGGCATAAATACATCTGGTTAGTTAATGTGGGCAGGGAGGAAGTTTCCTGCATTTGGGCTCTCCCAAAGACTTTGGTCCCCATATTTACCACCCTAAAATTAAGAACTTAATAAAATCCAGAGTTAGACAAAAGTTGTTGCTATTCTGCTTAAGGGATCATCTTCTTGTCAGAAAACTGGTTTCATCATCTCTAAAATGAAGATCATAATTTCTTACTGCTATAGAGATGTGTAGGTTCAAATGAAATATTTCCACTGCATAAATTCTAACACACTGACATGGTGATTATTACATCCCAAGAGAGCAACCCTCATGCTTATACCATTTTCTACTACCTGGTATCCTGGTGGTGGTCTGAGGTATTTGGGGTAGAAAGGAGACAGAGAAATTGAAGATGAAAGATATTTAATAGCAAGAAAAAAAATTAAAACACCAAGTGAAGTCAGCTTAACTCTCTTTTCTCCATCCTTAGTGGGAAAAGTATACAATTATTTTCTTTAAGTTTTTTTTAAGTATAATTAACATACAACATTATATTAGCCTTAGGTGTACAGCATAATGATTCAATATTTGTATATATTGTGAAATGAACACCACAGTAAGTCTAGTTAACATCCATTCAATTCTTTTCTTATAGAAAGAATGTTGCAAAGCTGGGAATCAGAGAAAGCATTAGAGAGGATTATTTCTTACATAAAATTCACTGGAGCCAGATGACAAAGCATTGCTTCCACTGATCAAGTGTGGATATTGAGTTTTTGTGGGGACCCTTTGCTGTAACAGTCATCATTTTGATAGGATGTTCTGTGAACTAATGTGGAGGGACCATGAAAAGGAATGAGAACTGGAGTCTCATTTATCCCAGCTCTGGACCGTGTGGTTTTGCATAAGTCACTCCATTTGTCTAAGTCTCAGATTCAACTGTCGTGTCCTGGGGAAGGGAAGAGGGTGAGACAAGTCTCCTGAGTTCTGACTGCTTTAATACTTTAAGGACAATGGTGCCATTGACATATAGGGACACCCTCTCATCAAACCCACACTCCCCAGAAGGAATAAATAGCTTTATTTAAACCTAAGAAAAACTATTCTACCCTCCCACAGATTCTTCTCATCTTTTCAGAAATTCCTTCTTTTCCTTCATAGTCATGGAGCTCTTCTGCCTCCACAACACCTCTAAAACAGTGACCCCTCTGGGGAATCTGGCGAACATCATGAAACTTATCTCTAGAAAAATGTGCACATACCCAACTGTTGTATTCAAGTCCAGCGGTTCAGGTTACATCCCCAGTAGGTGGGGTAGATCTGCCTTCTGTGCAGTGTGCAAAGACTGTTCATGCCACCAACCAGTTTCACCCTGAACAGGTGGAGCAGACTTAGGTGAGTGCAGGGTTCAGACATAGTCATTAGATTTCATCCTAAAAAAACTGTCTTCCATACACTTTCTGCATGCCCACTTCCTGAAATTAAAGTTCAAGTAGCAATGCCTTATACTTTAGACCAAACCTGGACCTAGGGAAGATTTGAAATTCAGGAATTCTTATCCATTAACTAGAAGGAAGGTCTCAACCCCTATATGTTAATCAGTTTGTTTGTTTGTTTGGGGTAAAAAAAAAAAAAACAAACCCTATTAAAGAGTCTAGTTTCCTCTCCTCATGACCATAATAATAACATGTAGCATATTTATAATAAACCATCAGAACCAATGGCTGCTTAGTCACCTTGGACAAGGGACTTAACCTCTCTGTGCCTCAGTTTCCTCATTTGTAAAATGTGATAAAAGATAGTATCAATGTCACATGGTTATTTTAAGGACTAAATGAGATCAAATATAAACAAGCTGCATGGTTCATCACAGATAGTACGTAAGTGCTGTTGGAGTTGCTGTGGACAGAAGAAATTCTGTTTCGGCAGGGAAATGTTTATCCAAGAAATGGGTATATTTGAGCTAATCAACTGATGAATGATAACTATTTCAAAAGATGGAAGTTAGGGGTTTAGGGAGGGGGAGTATGACATTCCAAGAGATGGGGGCAATGATACAGACGTAAGAAAGTATAAGGTATACGCAGGCTATGAATAATAGTTAGATTTGGCTGGATCCTGGATTTGAGAAGTGAGGAAATGAGGTCACACTGGTCACTTTCACTAAAGCTCGTGGAAAAAAATACATATACATGTAATATGTATAGAATGTATGTGTATATGTATATGCATGTATACATATATATTTTTAAGCCATATGACTGGGGGAGGCAGCCCATCTGTTTTCTGGGCTTCAGTTTTCTTGTCTCTGAAATGAGGAGGTGGGACTGGCTGGTCGTTAAGTTCCCTTCAGTATAATATTCTTTGACTCTAAAAGAGAAAAACAAAGGTTCCTTCTGATGTCTTCTGCCTTCCATTGCTCTGTCCCGTGCGACAGTTTTAAGGACTCTTTAGATGTTCTGCCGCTACTCTAAGTGAATAAATAGACGGATTTCTACAAGTCTTGCAGATTCAATTAGTTCTATGGCAATTGAATTTAGGGTGATATTCCAATCCCAAAGCTATGAAGCATACACTGTTTATAAAGCCTGCATCCAGGGGTCAGCATTCCCATCAGGCTTTCCGTTTCTAGCATAACAATAACAAAACTGCATCATCAACAAGGGGAATTTGTCCTACTGTAACAGTACCAGGTTACTAAATAAAAACTTAGAAGAGGGGGCTTCCCTGGTGGCGCAGTGGTTGAGAGTCCACCTGCCGGTGCAGGGCACACGGGTTCGTGCCCCGGTCCGGGAAGATCCCACATGCCGCGGAGCGGCTGGGCTCGTGAGCCATGGCCACTGAGCCTGCGCGTCCGGAGCCTGTGCTCCGCAACGGGAGGGGCCACAGCAGTGAGGGGCCCGCGTAATGCCAAAAAAAAAAGGAAAAAAAAAAAAAAAAAAAGCTTATAAGAGGGAAGGCTTACACAGCCCTATTTTACACGTTAATAATTGAAATATTACCTGAAAGAAATCACTCCTGGTCACTCTCACTTTACTAGTGCTATTAATATACAGATTTAGGAAAAAAAAACAGCCACGTTGACTCATAGATAGGGTCTATGGAGCACAAGCACTGATTGAGAGATTAGTGAAAACTGCCAAGGGTCATTTACATTGATTTTCATTGTTTGCTCACTGAGATCTAAAGAGACTGTGTCATGATTAATGATGGGATGTTTATGCCTGAAGCCTGCTTATTCTTCGTTCAGGACACTAGGTGTCACATTAGAATTCCTAGTAGGTGGGCCTAGGGATTCATCAGTTTAATCTTAAACAACACAGTCTGTCCAGTCAGGACTTAAGGGGTCCTAGTTCAGATGATGTGGCTATGTGGTCTGAGCCTCCTTGTTCCCCTGCATATTTGGTTAGGAATTTGTTTTATATTTAAATTTTCTATACTTTCTTAAAGTATAACATACATGCTGGAAGTTCTTAAATCGTAAGTGTTTAGTTCAGTGAATCATCACAAAGTTAACATACCCATGTAACCACTGCCCATGTAAAACTTGGCACTCCAGGAGCCCTGCTCAGGTTTCCTCACATGGTATATACACTGTAAAATAATGCAAGAGTCAAAATTATAAAAAACAGTTCAATAGATCATCCAAGTTTTTAAATTGCAAATCGATACTCAAGAAACATAGCTTTCTCATGGAATAGTTTTCTACTTCAACCTACATGTATATTGAGTATGTACTGTATGCCAGATGCAAAGAAGGGAAAGGCAAATAACACATGGTCTTGGCCCTTTAGTAAGCGGTTTCCTTGAGGGATTCCTGTGAGAGACCAAATTATTGCAATCCATTTTAGCCATTTATAGTTTGCTGGCGTACACTACAGGTCCAACACCCAGAAATGTCAAGGGTTGTCCATCGGGCTAATGGTCTATAATAAGAAGAGAGGTTTTGATGTTTCTCCTCACTCATCAAGTTGCAAGTCAATGCATTAGTTAGGACTCTTGGGTTACACATAACAGGAACCAACTCACACCAGGTAAAGCAAAAAGAAAATAATAAACTAATGCAGAGAAATCTCATCTAAGGTAAAAAATTCAGCCCCCATTCAGGAAACACTAGAACAGGGAATTAGGAAGCCTTCAGAATGCTCCATCTCACAAGTCTATCTCTCTTTATGTATCTACTTTATTCTTCTCCCTCTCTGAACACCAGTTTTCTCTGCTTCCCTGAAATATGGGTAGCTCTTAGCTCCTTAGGTCACTCATAGTTTCTGCTACATTTAGAAAGTAACTTGCTGGCTCACCGTCTGATTCCAAATTCCAACCCCAGTTAAACCGAATGTCCACTTCCACTTTAGTCAGCCATTCCCTGAGAAAACATGCCATACAGCGTGGATGCCAGCATGGAGTAAGGATGGTAAGAGAGGGCTGTGACCTGAACGGATATCTCCAATTCAGTATGAGAAATCTAGGCCAAGTGTCTAGGTTTAGCTGAACAAAAACCCAAAAAAGAAGTGAGTGGGGAATTTCCTGGCGGTCCAGTGGTTAGGACTCTGTGCTTCCACTGCAGGGGTCACGGGTTCGACCCCTGGTCGGGGAGCTAAAATCCCACATGCCGCACAGCCAAAAACAAACAAAGAAGTGAGTGGACAAGAGAAATAGATGTATGTAACCTCACTTAATGTGTCCTGTCTTTATCAGTGCTTCTGAAGTTTCTTCCACTTTGATCAAGCCATTGTTCACTTCCTGCTTCAGGTTGGAGGGCATCTTGATGGCCTGGAAGCCCACATGAACACAATCCTTAGTTTTCACCTCTGCATGTTCCATTCTTCCAACATCAAATGTACCAGCTATAAAATTGTGGATTTTCTCATAAGACCACCCTCTGGAAAGAAGCATAGGATTATTATCTCTTCTCCAACAGCTGCTTTTTAGTCTTGTAAGACCCCTGTAGGTATAAGCTAAAGCTTCCTTCTTGCAAGAAATGTTTGTCATAAGAGAGAGATGAGTGTGAAAATGCCTTTTTATAGACCGTCTGTCTACTCCTGCTATAGAGATTATTTAAACATAAAGACATTTCATGATGATTTGAAATCGACTACCCCCTCCATCTCCAAGTGCTTCTGGATCACCACCCCAGCTGTTTAAAAAGTTGTTGAGCCATTAACTGCTGCTGAGGTGAGCTCCCTTTGACTTGGGGGTCCTCCACCTGCAGTACATAATATTAATGAGCAGTAAGTGACTACCTGATGCTTCCTCCAAGAGGCCCTTCTGGGCTCTGACAAGTGCTGCCGCTGCTTCCTCATGGCCTCCTGGCCCATGGTGCCTCCAGAGTGATGGATGCCCCTCTCAGCACTTCTATTCCCACAGCTAATTGGATGCCTTGAAATCAGTCCCTCCTGAGAGCACAGAGGTTGGCGAAGCTCTTTTGTCTTTTTCGGTGTTCTTTGCTCAAGTGGTCCCAATGCTCTATAAGAAAAAGCATTTGTCACCATTCAACCCATTCTACAGATGAGCAACAGGGACAGGATTGAAGTCCCCTAAAAGAGGGAACTAGATCCTGAACCAGACTTTCTTAAACCTAGTTTTGGGAAGGAAAGAAGCAGGAGTCCATATTTACTTTCCCAAACCAAACCCGTGGTTAAATATTTCCAATAAATGAACTATGGAATGATTTTGGCCATCCTCATACATTTAATTTTTCAGCCACCCATTCTCTAAAGGAGCAGAAAACTGCTTTAAGAATTGTAATACATAGAATTCTACTTTATGAATCACAGTTTACTAAATGAGCAACTTACTTTAATTGCTACAAGAAAATGAAAATCTATAATGATGTTGCTTTTCATTTCAATAAAAGTAAATGGCTGATTTTCCCCATGCACTAACCCACAATACACAGAGACTCAATTTTGGGTGCTTGGTTGGCGGCTAAGCTGGTTTCTTGCCCTCCATGTTATTTGGCTGAACAAGCATGACCTTGACTATTTCTCTCCTTGAGGGAAGCATTATGTGGGAATGACACATGACATCTAACACAGATATTGCCAGGATGGGCCAGGCACTCCATAGATAGTGTTGACTCATTTAACCCTTACAACAACCCTCTGAGATAGGGACTGTCATAATTGACATATGACAGATAAGGAAGCTGAGAGGTTAAGTGACTTGCCCAAGATCACACAGCTTGTAAATAGCAAGTCTGGGAGTCAGACCCAGACAGTCAGGCTTGAAAGCCCATATTTTTATCACTAGACTAATTCTCTTTATATAGTATTTGTGTCTCATAGGGAACTCAGGAAATTTCATTATTTGTCTCTCACCAAACTAACAGAACCAAGCAAATGAAACCTTCCTTCTCTTGATATGATAACTTTTTTTTTTTTTTTTTGCGGTACCGGGCCTCTCACTGTTGTGGCCTCTCCCGTTGCGGAGCACAGGCTCCAGACGCGCAGGCTCAGCGGCCATGGCTCACGGGCCCAGCCGCTCCGCGACATGTGGGATCTTCCCAGACCGGGGCACGAACCCGTGTCCCCTGCATCAGCAGGCGGACTCTCAACCACTGTGCCACCCGGGAAGCCTATGATAACTTTTTTATCGGCCTCCTGAAAAGAAGCTAACTTGACACCCCGTTACAGGGACTATTTCTAATATGATAAAGAATTTACTCGTCAAAGAATTTACTTTGAAAAACAGTTGTAAATTTATGAGATTCGAACCTCTTAAACAGTGTTTCTCAAAGTCTGTTGTATGGACCCAGTGCACCAGCATCCTCAGGATATTTGTTTCAAACATGAAATCTGAGCTCCACACCTAGATTTCGTGAAACAGAATCCCTAGGAGTGGATCCCGTAATCTGCATTTTTAGGAAGCACTCCGATGGTTCTGTGCACACCAAAGACTGACAAGCATTACAGAGTTGCATCTGGATGTTTTAGGAGCTCCACACATCATCAATTCAACTGCAGATGATTATAGAAAGCTTTCAAAGTCTCTCTGCCTTCAGTAGCTATTTCAGGGAGAATTGTAATGTGCAAGAAGTGTTCCGAAATTGTTGCAGTCGCCTTCTGTGTGAACCAGCTGGTTAAGAAAGCTTGAATAATTTCCCAAGGGACTCTAGTTAAAGTGGACACTTGTACACCCTTTACCTATGAAAATATAGAAAAGACACGGCTTTCCACCCTGGACTCAAAGAGAATCTTTCAGAATGGGATTCTGATAATTTTTCTCAAAACCCTACGAAAGACCTTAGCAGAGACTATGAGACCTAGCATAATCTGACCAAGCAGCCTCCCAGCTTTATCCTTGAACATGCTCACCCACGGCTCCAGTGACAATGAACTTCCTTCAGTTCTAATAGCACCGATGATCCTGGAACATATTATGTACCCCCAGCCCCAGTGTCTAGTTAGCTCTCCCTCTCCCTTCAGAGCCCAGCTTAAATGGTCCTTTCTCAGAAGTGCCTGCTTGAAGCAGTCAGAGCATTCTATTATCTACCACTTGTCCTAGCATCATTCCTCCATGGCACTCACCAGTTTTTCGGTCTGCTTTTGACTGTGTGGTCACTTTATTCATCTGTCTTCTCCCATAGTTTATAAGCAACAACAGTACTGTTTTGTGAATTCTGGTGTCTAGTAGAAGTGTCTGCTACCAGTTTAAATACCTCATAATGTTGGAGAGAAAGTCTTGATTCTCAGTCTAAAATTTAACATCCATTCTATAAAGATTTCATGATTTTGTTTTCATTTCTATCCCTATCATTAAATAGCAGTGGAACTAGAAAGTCTGAACCCCAGACTTCTTTATGTGTTCTAGATCCCTTTAATGAATATGTCAACAAGTCTAATCCTGATGCTATTTTTAAAGTTGCTTATAGTGTGGTTATATAGTCATTAGTTGTTAAAAGGAAAGTTAATAAAAGAGTGGAAATTTCTGATTTTGAAAAGCCACAAAGTAACTATTTATCTATTTCCTCCTTTACTTCAAAGGCTGAAATGGTTTCTTATTATTGAATAGGGTAGGGAGCACAGTGGGCCTAATTGGTGATTAGATGGGTTTTACTTAATTTTATCGTCACTTTCAAGTGTACCCTTGGTCAGCTGTATGAACTATCAAGCTTATCGTTTGTAAAAGTATTATCTACATGAGAACATTTCTTATTCCCACAGTAATTTGGTCACAATGGCATTTGGTTTTAAGCAATTTTGACACTAAATGATGGATTCTAAGTGTTCCAAAATTATGTGTGTCAAAAGCTAGAATTGTTCAGAACCTAAGACCTAACAGCGTTTAACAAACTGTGGATATTTTAAATTACTAAAACACTGTCTTCCGGGTATTTAAACTCAAAAAATTACATTCTACATGATACTTATATATCAAAACCTAACAATTATAAGTGGATATTCTCCCATGAGTTTTTGAAACACCTCCTTAAGGAAGCTGAGTGCCAGCGACTTCCCAAATTCTCCCTGGATTAAATACAGGTTTCATTTTACTCATTACGGTGGGAAAGGATTAGAGAGCTACCGGCAAGCTAGTGACCTTGACAGAAAAGCAGTCCAGATCGTTGTGAATTACACCTCATATGATTTAGGTTACACCTTCCTAACACTGTCACCTTCCAAAACTAAAAATTCTGATATTCACATCATAAAAAATCTATGGGAAATGATAGATAATAATATTAGCTAACAATTGTATTTCATGCCTACAGTATTCTTAACACTTTCATACAAACTTCCTCACTCAGTTTACACAACAACGCAATGAAGTACGTGCTATGAATAAGCCCATTTTACAAATGAGAAAACTGAGACATAGAGGATGGCACAGCCACACGGCCATTTAGCTATTTTAGAACCAGGATTCCGACTCAGTCAGCCTGCCGAGAGAGCACCCCTCCTAACGATTAAACTAAACTACCTCCCGTACCTACTTTATATAAGAACAGTGAATTAGGAAGCTTGGTCCTGCTTTCTTTCCTTCTCTTTATTTTCTCGTTAGAGAGTCAGGGAGGGAGGTGTTTTGTTTTGTTTTGTTCTAAAGGAGAAGCTGAAAGTGAGCCTTCTTTCTTTTTGAACATCTTTTTCCAAAGCCAGTTCCCTTCATCTGAGGCCAGGAAGGACACTGATTCAGGAGACAGAGCACTAATGAGCTTCCCCCTTTGTCTCCTTCCCTGTCTCTCCACTCTGCAGTTAATAGCCAAGATACCAACCATCACGGCAGTTTGCAACTTGCACGGGGAGAAACTGCAGGTATTTAAGCAATCGCATCCAGACATAGTGAATACACTCTTTCCTCCGTTATACAAGGAGCTCTTTAATCCTGACTGTGCCACCGTCTGCAAGTGAAGGTGACGAGCGAACTGTCTCATAGTCATGGAATGCAGCACCATTAAGACAAAAGCAATGTGTTCATGAAGACTTAAGGAAAATGTCACTACTGCAACATTAGGAATGTCCTGCACTTAATACAATTATTTTTCACCGCTACAGTTTGAAGAATGTAAATATGCACCTGAGTGGGGCTCTTTTATTTGTTTGTTTGTTTTTGAAATGACCATAAATATACAAATATAGGACACTGGGTGTTATCTTTTTTTTAATTTTATTCAGGTATGTTTGGGGAGACAACTGTTTATAGAATTTTATTGTAGATATATACGAGAACAGAGCAGTACTTTACATGATTACTTTTCCTGTTGATTGTTCAAATATAATTTAAGAAAATTCCACTTAATAGGCTTAACGATTTCTATGTTTTTAGATAGTTGATGCATGTGTAAATTTGTAGCTGTCTTGGAAAGCACTGTGCATGTATGTAATGAGTATATAATATCTGAGAATATTATATATGACTATTACTTATACATGCACATGCACTGTGGCTTAAAATACCATACCTACTAGCAAAGGAGGTTCAGTCAGGCACTATTATGTTATTTACCTTGTGTTATATGTTACCTTTATGTTAGACAATCAGGATTTTGTTTTCCCAGCCAGAGTTTTCATCTATAGTTAATAGCAGAATGGTACCAATTCAGAAATGTCTACAAAGGAATAAATATAATGCATGACCTCTGTATAAAAACTCTGTTTCGATCAATGACATCAAAGCCTTGTCAAGATGGTACATATTGGAAAAAAAAAAATAAGTATTTGGAGCCATTTTCCTGTTTTAAGAATTAGGCCACAGATAACATTGTGGAGTCCAGGGCTTTTTTGACCAAACAATAGATATTTCCACCAGGACACATAAAACAGTTTTTTTTTTTCTTTGGATTTCAAGTTGTGAAAGAACCTTCATTTTGGTGCTTATTGTATCTTTAACAGAGAAATACAGTCTGTAGATTATGACCACCAGCAATTTTTGCTAATAAAATTAGAGGAAAAGAGTAGGTCAGAGCCCAGGGTCCTAATGCCATTTCATGTAAACATTTTTCTCTCTAACCATTTTTTTTTTTCAAAGAAGAGGAAGAAAGAGAATATACAAAGTAAAGAAGTAGTTCTTTATGTTCATTCTCTTGAATAAGTTTGTTAGAAAATGCAGCAATAAAGGGGGAGGCAGGACTTTCTACGTCCTTCTAGTCTGGGGTCTCTAATTTTTTCAACTCCACAATGCTGTATTATAAAAATATAGCAAAACCTTGATAGATTAGAATAAAAGATCTGGGTTATTCTACAGAGCTAATACACCTCAAAGCCAAAACTATTTCCTGTGCCGTCTGGAATTGCATCATCCATCTAGCCGGGGATTATTTTTTTAGCAACTTTTAAAAGTACAGAATGCAAGAGGTGAGATCACGATTAGACAATTTGGATTTCCTAGTACTTCCTCACTTCTCCACTTGCTGACCAATCAAAGCGATCACCAGAAAAGCATAAATTCCAGGGAGTTTGTTCTGCCTGTGTTCTGGAGGCCTTATGCCTTTGGTCTCATTTGATCCAAAATAAGATTTTTTAAAAGGGAGCTAGAGAAGAGCTTAGTGTATAAGACAATGAAAATTATGATCTCCTATAAGTGTAGCCTGGCCATCAACTCATGAAGACCTGCCCTTTTCTCCTTGTCCAACACACACACACACAAATGCACACCTGCTTTGTGAAGTTTCCATCAGTGGAAACTTTTGATTTTTTTTTTTATCTCTTATGCTCTCCTGAAGTTAGATGGTTGAGAGCCATCTCCATGATGCCACAGAACTGCAAACTGATGATCAAACAGTAGTGTTAGTCTTTGCTTTTAGAAAACAGAGTCTTTGCCCACATCATGATTGATGAATTCCTAACCAATAGGGAAAAACAGAAAGGCTTTAAAATAATGAATCTCTTTCTCAACTACCGTTATATTCAATTAATTTAACTACATTGAACCAAATTACCTTCAGTGTCTAAGAAGACAGCTGTAGACTGCTTATTATGCTGCTACAGGGACTCAATTCTTTTTGGTGTAAATGTCACTCCTGCTAGCTCTTTGTATAAAGAATTAATTCCAAGAGTCATATTTCCTTCTAATGGAAAGATTACTTTACTGATTGCTAGGAAAACAGGGTAATGGAAGGCACTCAATTAAACCAAACCGTTTCCAAATGCAATGTATGTTTTATGATTGGCTTGTGATAGGCGATGCTTAATGTGTCTACTTGGTGTTTCCCTTTGAGCTTTGAACTTATGTCAAACTTTGTTTTCATTGTTCTGTTGGCTTAGTGTTTCCAATTGTCAGCCTGTAATTCCTGCTCAGTTGCAAAGGGAACCATTTGTTTCCTCCAGTTTACCTTAGAGGATTTAAATTGGCTGAATTGATGAAGTGGCTGAGAATTTCTCCTCCCCTGTCCCATGGGTGATATAGGAAAAAGATTGTTCCCCACATTTGCCTCAGGAGGTACTGGATTTGAATTTGTGTCGTTTCCACTAGTGCAAGCATTTCACTGGGACGGCATGAACCTTTTGAAGCTAGGGGACAGGAAACAGCTAGCAACTGAACCAGAACAAAATAGTGGAAACCAGTACACACTCAGCCCCGTTCAGTTGAGAAAAGAGATTTCCATTTTTCGCCACAGTTGCCAAATCTGTCCCTTGAAAGAGAGCCAAGTCATGTTTTCAGTGGTAACAAAGCACCTTTAAAAGCTGCCCTTTGAACATCTCCTTGCTGCATCTCGAGGTATTTTGAAATTTCAGTTAAGAACAACTTTCTTTACCACATGCAATCTTTGTCCCTGCCCCATGAAGACTCATGAGTGGTTGCAACACATTCATGATAAAATGTGCACTGGAAGAAAGGACCCAGGATCTGTACTTTTCACTTCAAACTTCGTAAATGACAATCACTGCTTGATGCAGATGTTGCACTGTATTCACTCAGGGATGTTTTGTTTTTTTAAAAAAGAAAAAAAGAAGAAAAAAAAATACACCAAGAAGGAAGGAAAAAAGAAAAAACAGGAAAATGACAACAAAATGTAAATGGCATAAATTAAATATGCCAGTAAGAGAACCTCTCTGACAAGGCTTTCAGACCAACGAGCAGTAACTTCATGTTGTAAGCTGAATTTACTTTCACTATTTGGACTTGCTGAAAAGTTGCTCATGAGTAGGAATAATTTAGTCTCATTTTCTAAAATCTGCTGAGAGCCAAATGATCCAGCTGCCCCATCTATAGGAATATGTATCTCCCAGAGAACCCAAGCTTCCTATACAAGTCCTGAGCAAGCCATCTCAGTAGCATTCGATGAACCTGACAACGGAGGTGACCTGTGGTCTGTAAAAAGAAAGGCAAATTTTGGAGGCAATATAGGAGAATAAGGGATTCCACATCTGGCTTAACATCTCACATCTGCCCCAACTCTCCATGACTCAGGTCCTCTTTGTATTCCTTTTTCTGCAGCTCTTTTATCCCCAAAGACTGAAAGCTGAGGGTGGAGATGTATTCGACAAACATACCCTTTCTGGATTTCCCTTGTTTTAATAGTGTCTTCAGGGCTCTGGACTAAAGGACCACTGAGTAGGTGAAAACAGAGAATATAGTGGTCTCTTGGGTAGACTTCTTTGATAGAATCTAAGAGACTCTGGATATTAACAGTAGGTGCCAGGGAGGCATCAGTTCATTTCCTATCGTAGCTGCCTGTTCAACACATAACTTCATAGCAGTCAAGCTCAACTGCTTGGAGGAAACCTCGCACATGGATAGTCAACTCAGGCTCACTTTCTACAGTCCCATGGGTACCAGACTTGACTGCAAAAGCAATTCTTGTGTCCCAAGGACGCAACTTAACAGCTTTTTTCAAAAACATCAGTCAGCTGCAAATGATGTCAGTTTTGTTCCATGTTCTTTGTTTCCATTTATTACAGAAGCAAGGAAGAATTCTACTGCTATTGGAAATTAGAAGAAATAACTTTTTCACGATTCTTTTTTCTCTGTAAACTTTAGTTTCCAGTGGGTTACGACGATTGACAGGAAATTCAGGCAAGGATGTCTGTGCCCAGACAGAACCACCGTTCAAGAGAACAGCAATAACTTTGAAGTGTGCATCTGTAGTCAAACTTTGTACAAAGTCCCTCTAAACAGAAAGAAAGGCTCACCATCTGCTTTAGGTGAAGTGGTATTTGATTTTCTGTTCCCAACTACTAGTGCAAACAGCAACCTGATATGGGAAACCACGTGGGTCTTTAGACAAGAGTTGACAACCATTTGGGGTTGGTAGTAGGGGAGTGTCTCAGGACACCAGAGGTACATGTTCATTTAAAGCAAAGGTTAAAAATTCCAAAGTCTAAAAGGGCCAGGGAGTTGATGCAAATGAGCTTGCCACTAGCAGACCGGTGGCCAGCTAGCAAGGAAATGCCCCAATGAAAAGGGGCATCCAACAGTCAGCAAAGCTGAAGTATTGCTAAAGTTTCTAAATCTTATGCAGTCTCTTGAGTTGTAAATGTCAGTTGATTCAGAGCTTAGTGCAGACCAAACAAATATGTCTCTGGGCAGAAGGCGGTCCACGATTTGCAACCCCTGGTTTAAAGCAAAATCCAATCTAGGGGCCTGTTTGGCTGGAGCAAGTCTGTCCAGATAAAACTCTGGATGATATCAGTCGGGGGTTAGGGGTCAGGAGATCTTGCTCTTCTGATTCTCAATTTCGTTTTCATATTTGACTATCACTGCTAGAATATATAGTAAGAGGTCAGCTTTAAAAATGGCAAACAGTCTAAAAATGAAAATAATTTAATGATGGCTTATAAAAGACACTTCCATCCGTTTTGCCCAAACTCCCAGCTTCATAGAGCCAGGTGGTCAGATTTCTTGCCACTTTTCTTCTGAAAGTCCAATGCACAATTTTTATGCTTTTGAGTCTCAGTGTGTTTCTTTAGATGTGTGGCTTCATTATCTAGGAGTTCTTACTTTTCCCTTGGTTGTAGCTAAAGAATTCATTCAATAATCACAATAGCATAGTCCTCCATTGTTATGAAGTGCGGGACCATGGACCCCTTTGCAGTGGATGGGGGTTGTCTGTTGGTGCACTTTTTTCCCAAGCTGCTGAAATTCCTCCAAAGTGAACCGGCCATAGTAATCTTTGCCTCCTGCATGACTGTAAGCACAACCTCCAGTGATCAGACAGAGCAGCTCAGTGATTGTTCTTATGGCCAAAAATAAAGCACAAGTTTACCGGCATTGAATAAGCCCAGCTGAGGGAAGCCAGGGAATGTGCATCCCCGCTGGGCAGCATGATCCTTCTATAAAACCATGCTCTTTGGGCAGCGGCTGGAGGGCATTTGCCCGCCTGGGTCACGACCAGATGCAGACACACACTAGGTATGTCTGAGAAGCTCCAGATCCCATCTCCAAGCACAGTACTGTCTGCTTCATCTGATTAACACACACACACAGGAATGAAAACTACACCTATAGAAAACTGAGTATGTATTGTAGAAATGTAGAGGAAAAATAAAAATATTTTTTCAAATGTAATTACTTTTAATATATGCTTGTGGAAGGTCTAATACAATGTATGCTGTCTCTGTAATTTTTTCTGTAAATAACCAGAGACAGTGAATACACTGATTTTTCTATGTCTCTGTTTAAGCATAAGACTTTGTAACGATTTTTTTAGAGGGGGAAAAACCAACAAAGAGCGAATATGTACTTGCTTCCTTTCTGCGTGTTACGTACTTCTCAGAAACTGGTTGTAACAGTTTAAGCATCTTGACTGGTCATTGGTGTTAAGTGTACACTTCTTTTTATAAGACAGCTGAGAAAGGGACAGGGCTGTCAATTAAATCTGCTCCAAAGAATCTGTATTGAAGATTGGCCTAAGACCTGCAAACTCTATCTGAACTAGACAACATGAAAAAGGAAAGTTTTAAAAAAAATGTTGCCTAAGTCCTCTTTCCTCGTAGCAAATGGCTTAGTCCATATCCTTTCTGCATGGAATAGCTTAAGGAAAACAAACTCTGCTTTCTGATGAACAAAATATTTTTGTACACATTTATTTCGTATTAATAACCCCAAGGTCAGACCACTCATTCGCTGAAGCCATAACTGACCTTTACCAAATAAATGTTGTCAAGAACCTGGGGGAGGGTTGGGGAGAGACTGAGAGGGAGGAAAATTGAAGGTGTCATGAGCTGTAACAACACAGGCAGGAGCAAGTCTGATGAACCTGATGCTTTTCCTGCATCCCAAATACGAGTTTAAAAGGCTAGTATTTTATGATGACCGATTTATAATTTAAAAAAAAGATATTTAGATTTAAATGAGACTTTCCAGTATTTTTGAAATCCCTGACAATAATTCCTTGCTTTTAGGGTTGAGAGAAATGATTTTCATATACTTCCAACATTCAGAGATTTAATGTTTTTACCTTAGCTCCAGCTTACGCATGTAAAGTGGAGAGCAGCGCTGCAACCTCCAGCGTTGAAACCATGTGCTGTTAGGGGCTTAGCTGTACCTACCGACCACTACTGCACCTTGAATGTGCAGCTTGTGTCTCTTACTAGCATGCACGTCATTGCTGGCAACGCGCACCAGGTGCATTGCCAGACGTATGTAAAATAAAAGTA